TATATAAGGTTGTTTAGTTGTGTACTGTAGGTACTGCATTATAGGTATTACTTATGTGTATGTCATGTATATCTCGTAAGCTTAGTACTTACATTGTTAGAAGTCAAATTACTTTTCATACTTAGTTATGTGTTTTAGTTTTAGTGAAATATTACGTATTCTTACTATAACTAAATTGTGTTGTATATTTTATCTTTTGTCGATCCACATTTTAACCTCCTTTTCAACATTTAAAGATTTTAATTTAAACATATTCACTTATTTATTATTATAACCGAAATCGCATGTTCATGTGAAATACTGATATGTACAATTTCAAAAAGGTCATAATACTCATAGCTTACTTTTTTTATTTTTATTTTATTAGAACAAACGAGATTATATTTATACAATCAACAATGTGTTATGAAACGTATACAATAGCTAATATGGGGGTACAAATATACAGGACAGAATGGTAGATAGGGGGGGGTTGTCCAATGACCCTAGTTTATAATTCTAGGCGGTTTTTTCAAAAAAAATATTGTGTTGTTGAATTTATTTATTTTTTCTATGTCGAGGAGGTCACTGGGCCAACTTTGTTTAAGACGGCGGTGGGTTATCAGAAAGTGTAAGAGTTGAGAGATGATAGCTAGGGATTTGTCGCCGTATCACCAATGACCGCGGGGGTGGCCCAAAGTTTTCGGATATTTCATCTTTGTAGGTAGATACTACAACTAAGGTGTATTTTATGTTACACCTATAATCTATTATTGCCAACCACCTTTACAGCGGCGCATGTATATAATATTATACCTAATATAGGTTCGTCGGGTATTTCGTGAGCTGAAATATACCAATTTTAATATAATTACGTTCCTATATACCTATACCTACTCGTATATACGTTCCTGCAATGCGCCTCACCCGAGTCTCTCCATCACTCTGGTTGGGAGGCTGTGCAATGATCTCGAATCGCTATTGATAGACGAGTTTTGAGAGTATATTGTTATTGATTGCTCGGCGAACGCTTACAAACGATCTGCGTACCTATATAATATACGCATTATCGTTATTACGACTTATAACTATTACAACTTATAATGTTACCTTTGTGTTCTGGTATTATTTATCTATTATCGTGAGCGGATAATCGATTTCGTGGACGTGGGGAGGCGCGGGTCGGACTTGGCGTTAATGAAATAGAAACCACTCTATGAAATATATATATTATTATTATATGCACATTACAATATCATAATAACACCAAATATGAAGAGCTGGTGGCACTTAGCAGTAAATAGTATATATACCTGGGTAGGTAATACAGTGGCGTACTCAGGATTTTTCAATGGAGGGGGGGAGGTTGACAATTAATTACAATTTTATTTTTATTTTTTCCGGTCCAATAATTTTACACGTTTTGGTGAGTGGTTTGAAAATATTGGTACAACTTCATCTCCTCAACTTTTCTAGTAGAAAAAAATGCTCTAATCATAAACTTCGATGGAGGTTTTTGGAAGCCAATTGGATGTAGATGGAACTTTTGGTAGGTCCACAGCACGTGATCTTAATGCACTGATACAGAATATAAAATAGGTATAAACATATTATATGGCTTGTACAGATGGACTTTTTTAGGACAGTAATGGACTATGGTATAATTATTGGTACGCAGTAATTTGTAGGAGCTTACTGCACGATTTACAAATCATGAAATTGTAGACGAACAGATCTGGAAGCAAACTAAGCGTATTTATATAGGTAAATAGTACTGATATTTTACTGACTATCATCAATTGAAAAAATTCTATACAACCAGACAAAAATCGAGGTCGGGGAAAAATTTAAAATTTTTTTTTATTACCCATACATGGGTCTATATTATATATTAAATATCTCTCATATCATTTTTTTTATTGATTAAGTCCACTATTAATAATAATTATTAACGTCAATCTGGTTTCACTCTATTCATTTTTGCAGGTAAATAAATCACAGCATCGCAATACACAGCCGCAGTATAAAGCAATTTATAAAAAACGACTAAATATAGTTTAATATTACCACCGCGAGGCCTATTTATAGCCGAGAACCTGCGGCGCAGCTGCAAGTACCTATAAGGTACCTGTTAGATTTTAGGAAGACTCGTCTTGTCTTTTCTATAAAAAGCCTAACGCTCGAGCATATTTTCGCCGTCGAGAAAATCGCCGCGCGTGCGTATCGTAATAATCTGTAAGTATAATATTTATAAACTTCTCATATCATATAATATACACGCGAACTCGACTTTATAATAATAGCAGATATACCAGAAAATATGATGTATACGTGACATCTATTTCGGTGTATATATTTGGAAAACGGATGAACGACCGCCCGCGAGGGTATCGCGGATTTTTAAATCTCCCGGCAACGTGTATGATAATAATATACGAACAATGTCGACACACACGAGGGTCGGCGGCGAATACGAGTCCGGGGGGGGAGAGGATTAAAAAACAATCTCGGGGATTTATCTCGACGGTCGTGACAAATTCGCGCGGTCGAACGAAGAGACGGGCCCAGCGGGAGGGTTTTAAATTTCACGATGAGCACATCTCGAGTGTGTGTGTCCGCCTGAGAGCCGAGTCGAATCTCGCGGAGTTCTCGGACGATGACGAGCTGTATGTACACACACACGTGGTTTAAGGTATACTCTGCGTGTCAGTGTGACGGACGATAACCGTGGTATACGTGTACAACAGGTATATAGGCGGTGATAATATGTAAAAGTCGCGCGTCCCGACTGGCGAGTTGCGGCATTATGCGGCGTATAGGCATGAGGAGGAGCTGCGGACGAGTGAAACGGACACGCGGCGTGGAAGAGGAGGAATCGCGGGTAAAAAATGAAGAAAGATCCGTACCTAGCTGCGGGAGCGAGAGGGGAAAAAAATAACAGTTTACAATTATTATCATCATCATAATATTATTATATATGTATCGTAATGGGACCGGTTTCCTCGCGGCGGCGGCGGCCGCGGAGGAGAATAATATACACGCAGTATAATATAATATTATTATATTCTTCATCGCCGTCATAATAATAAAAATTATACGGTATCAAACGAACGCGGTGACGGTTAAAACGAATAAAAACTGCGATCGTCGACTGTGAAGCATTTATATTCGCAGGGGAAGGTCGTAAAACAAAAAGCATACGAAATACGAATATTGGATTCGATGTTTCCATTTCACTATCGCACGAGCGATTTACGTTTTCGTCTCAAAATTATAATATTTTGTAATATTTTGATGACAATAATACTGCGTAAGCCGATCCGGGGACTGCCGCGCTTCTGGGAGGGATCCCCCCCACAAGATTCGATGGCATCACGGTGTTTTTTTCGGTCCCAACATTTAGTACTCGATACGTGCGAATTTTTATGACCGTGTTCGAAATTCGTACGACCTCCGTTATTTTTAATCACACCAATATGTTATAACAGTCTATAAGAAGGAAAATATTGGTGACGTAATTTTAGTATAAAACATACCCGGGAAGTAAATAATAATAATAATATATACATTATACAATATTATAGTATGTTGGGGTGACTGCAAGTCTGTAAGCCACGTCCAAATGTAATTTTTTTGTTGTAAATCACATTTGGACGCGACTTACAGACTTAAAGTCACCCCAACATACATAATATTGTATAATGTATATATTATTATTATTTACTATGTCCACAACCTTCGGTCTCGCGAAAAAGAACAACCGACCTCGTCTTTCGGTGGCTCTATAAGTTCCTCACGTCAAACTCGCGTCGGCATTATAAATCCGTGGGAAACGCGCAGTTTGCGGTACTCGGACGGATTTTGGTTTTTTTCTCTACTTTTCACTCGTATTATAATATTATTATTATGCTGCTGCTGCTCGCTGCGACTACTACTACTACTACTACAACAGACTGCCGGGTACCCGCACCACTCGACTACTACTCAAAGTCGAAACTGGTTTATAATATTATAATATATAATATTATTATTGCATACATATTATTATTATTATTATGTATATACGCGACGTGACCGAATGAACGGTAGAACGGGGGGGGGGGGAATTCTATACTGGTATGTCTTCACAATATATGTGATTTTTATTTCTAAATCAAGACATTAAAACAGCGGTCGATGTCTTACACGCACGTCACACGTCCATAATAAAATAATACCTATATAGTATTATACATATCATCGTAATATTACTTATTATGTTATTGGTAGGTACGTTTGAAATCTTCAAACCGCACAAGTCCGCAGACGGACGCGAAAGGATTTCGAGTTCGGTGACGTCGAAACGTACATTTTCCGTCATTTCCGCGGCACAGTTCGGCGATGATATTATTATTATTATTGTTATTGTGTTCGAGTCGATTAATATCGTTTGGGGCACGAAAATGAATGAGATCGTCGTAATGTGTGTCGACATCGATATATTTCTGTACCACAGCAGAAGTCGAGTAACGCAAGTCACGAAAAGCAAATTTTACAGGAGAGACAAAACAAAAATATTTGTTACTATGGACTTACTATACTTCAAAAATATTATTTTGTAATTTTGTATATTACTTTTCTTTTGTAAAGGCTGAAAATACGTTTCTATACTCCTATCATAGATTTAAGGTGGTATACTTCTTGCTATCTAAATATGCTCATTTGTTGTACGTAGGACTTACGTTTTAACACCTTTAAAAAGATCACAAAAATCAAATTATAATTATAACTAACTCTAAATTTCAAAAAATGGACTTGCGTTAGTTGTGACTTCTGTGGTACAAATTTTTATGCAGACGTTTTGCGGGGCTAACATTTTAGTTGGAAATCTGCACGCGACGCGGAAGAACGTGTCTGCAGCTACGAGTGGGTTGTTACATTATTATATCGTTTTGTCATTTTAAGTTATTTAGGAGGTGGCTGCAAGAAAAAATATTATCCCATTAAACGAAGGTGTGTGATTCTTTATGAAGAAAACAAAAATGAATAATCCACAAATCTTACGAGAAGTACGCCTGTACTGTCGAATTGGGTCTAGAGGACGTAAAGTTAGTGCAATCTTTGCTAGGACCCACACGTGGGGACCCTGCAATTGGAAACCGCGTAATCCTTATAAAAACAAAACGTCCACCTGCGACCTGAGTCACAAGACCGAAGGGGTTGTTTTTCGAGAATATTTTCACCAAATCGTCACTGGCAACCTCATCACTATCGCAAAACGTACCGACTATACAACAAAAACGACAGTAAAACATGTTTGACAAGTCTCCGCCTATATGTACCTATTGTAACATTCTCATCACACGATATAAGTGTGGAAGACGCACCGGCGGGGTAAATGATCGAACGTCGCCGGCGAATGGTATATAGAGTACTATTCCTACGTAAACACGATTATCGCGACAAAATATTACTCAAAACAATTCTGAAAGTTTGTCCAAAGAACTTTGGAAGCCAGCTGCTGTTTCTTTTGAAGGAAAAAAGGAATAGAAAATACGCATCTTTTTGATGCGGAACGCGGCGAAACTTTGGTGAAGTAATTTGTTGCTAAAGGATTTCTGTATAGTGTTCCTCGAGGGCTTTTTGGTATTCTCTCGAAATCATTTTACATTTTAAATAATCGTTTATTCGGCCCGCAGACGGCATCCACGCTATAGCAGTATACATATTTTAATATTATAATTGATAGCTTAAAAATTCGCGAAGACATATTAATGTCACGGAACGTCGAAAATAATTATATTTAAATAATATACAATTTAAAAGTGCGACGTCGTAAAGCGTGCAGCGATCGTTTATAGCGGCGCGGTGCGCTCGTCTTAATATATAATAATATATAAGAGGGGTAGTTTATTTATTTATTTTTTTTGCTTTCTGCCTCTCATTATAATTTATTTATAATATTATTATAATATACAGTCCGCGGATCAAATGATGAAAACTCGCTGGCGCAGCTTAGTGTATATAAAACGACTACCACGACCACTACTAGAGAGAGAGGGAGAGAGAGAGAGAAAATATAATATAATCGTCCCGGTGTGGTCTCATGGACAGTTATGATAACGTCATTTGCACGAGGGTCATCGTTTCGATATAAAATATGTCGTACGTTCAAAACGGAGGAAGACATAAGCGCCAAAATGATATGAGAAAAAAAAAGTTGTATCGTACGAAACTGCCAAAATCCTAGATACCTGTGTGCCAGGCTTAATAGATATTAAATTTAGAGCTATAATATATTATATTTTAACAAATTTTTATCAATATTTTTTATAAGATAGAAAAAATCAACCGATTCATTAAAAATTATAGGTAATTTATTAATTTCTATCATATTTATTGAACATTTTTTATAAGATCGACATTTTTAAATAACTATTTATATCAAATATTAATTTTAGTTCAAATGATATGTTATTTTGCACATTTGGCGCTTATGTCGCATAATATAGCCGTTCATAATCTTATGCATAGGTTTGAAAGACGTATACTTAGAGTAAATTACTATATTACTTAAAGACTAGACGTTTATAATAAATACATCTAAACATATATTATACTGCTGCAATGGTTAGGTTAGGTTATCGGTTATCCGTTGTGATAAAGTCTAAAAAATACGAACAAACCGTATTACTTCGATAGACGTCCAAGAAGTCGTGCCTAGATAGTATATAGTATAGAATAGTAATAACAACCACAACAACAACAACGCGTACGTTACATGATCGTATATATACGCGGGTAAACATATCGTCCCATATAGTATATTGTATTACCTATACTTTATACTATTATTATTATTATTATACGTACATATTGTATATACCTCTTAATGCTCCTATATATATATTATATACTTTCTATGTACATAAGTATATATTTATATATATACTATCCGATAATAATCTCAACTTGCACTTGTGCGCTCGTCCGTCGCGCGCTTTCTCGAGTTTATTATTATTATTATTATCATTATTATTACTATTTTATTATACAGTCACTATTTGTATACTTAATGTACATAGAGGTACGTACCCGTTGCAATATAACATATTTCAATAAACATAAACGGACGAGTGTCGGTGCAGGTTTGTCCTCGGACGAAGGTCTCCGCAGATAAAAAATGCAACGATCGTATAATAATATAATACGCGTATTATCGTCTTTGCTGCAAAAATATGGGTGTCCGCTATTCGCATATATTATTTTATTATAATATTTCGTCTTTCTCGTCGATTTTTATGACATAATATTTATATTTTATGGCGTTAAAAAATATTGTTGTTTTTACGATCATCTATGCATATATGCAAGCCGAACCGAACGGGCGCACATAATAATAATCTCTCTCTCTCTCTCTGTGTACATAAATATATTCGCACAGGTTACCTGTACGGTTAGGTTAGGTTACATATATGCGTACATTGCGTAGCCAGTAACATATTATGTCGCATTAAGGCGCATTCACAGCTACGTTGTGTGTCGTGTCGTAAGATGGCTTGGTTATTATATGGTTACGACTGGTAACCAATGTGGTTTAGAAGTTGAGCTGTAGTCAATTCTTGGTATACTCGGTTGCCACTTGGTTACCAACCATTTTAACAAACAAGTAATTTCCAATTCCAGTATGATTTGATCGACACGACACACGACGCAGCTGTGAATCCGGCTTTACCCTCGTGATATTATTATTATTATTAATATACATCATACTTTATGTATAATATATTTAAAAAATAATAATACCGACGTTTTTGCACCGAGAGAAAAGCGCTTGTTAATTGTACAGAACGTCTTTGATATTATATCATAGGCACTTGTATTATACATAATAATAATATTATGCACTATAAGTAACATACATATTATAATATATAGGTACAAAGTTATAATATATATGGAATTTTATTCCACGTTGTTTTATGGTTATATTTTTTAATGGTTAGGTATATATTTTTATAATGTGTGCACTGCACTTCACAGTACAAGTTAAAGTTACTATATACGTCCGTATTAACGTTTTTTATTGTGTGTGCCATTATTTTATTTTCATCTCCCCCCCCCCCCCATACGTCCACTAGACGAAGTTATTTATTTTTATAAACAAAAGTGTTTAAGTGATATTTTTAGTTTTTCTCTGAATTTCTTTTCTCGTGCATTTTCCAATTATTATTATACATAATATTATAATAATATCTACTTAAAACCCAATACAAAAATATGTACCTACCTTTCATTTATTATGTATATTAAGTCATAGCTTTACAAAAATCGTAATATTTTCATTTGTACCTTTTATTTTTCAACGTTTAAAATGTCAATATATAACGATGTTGCAGTTGATGTTTATTAGTACGTCAATTGTACCAATTCTGTATGGCATAATATATAATACGATACATAGTCAATAAGAGGACAAAATACTATATATGGCCGTTTGAACTAATAAAATGTTTACTTCTCTCCAAATAAAAAAAAATTAAACTTAAATGGTAGAAAATAAAATTATTATGTGAAATAAAAATATATAAAAAATTAAATAAATAGGTAGTAAAACGTTTGCATTGAAGGGACAACGCGTGTCGGCTCGTATAATATATATTAGATAATAATATAATATGGCGCTGTAAAACTTTTCAACGGTTGTCCAAATGAGTATAATATAATATATTATGTTTTACTCGAATTCTGCAGCAGCATTAGCCGATATATACGTTTTTACGAGCAATGAAAATTAAACGTTTTGTATAAAATGAGAGTGGAGAGGTGGCGAAAGGATATAATCTGTATCGCATTATTATTATTAATTTTTTTTAGTGCATTTATACGACAAAATTTTATATTCTATATACACGCATCTGGGTGTAGGTCTAGAAAAAGGCCACATCACTGCAATTTATTTTTGGTCTCGCAAAACAAAATTTCTGGTGGCTCGGTGGGTTGACAGTATAGTTACCATTAATCATTATTCATTACTAACATGTACACACAAATAAATACAATATACAAATATGTAATTAAACGAAAATATATAAAAGCGTCTTATGTAAAATAAAAGTACCATCGTTTTTAATAAGAATAATTTAAATCGTGAACGTTTCTTATCGAATCTTAAATATCTTGTTTTAGTAAAAATATGCATTTACATATAAGTCCGTTCTCTACTCATTAGTTATAGAGCAAGGACTTTCATGCAATTGCATAATTATATATATTTTTTCTGGTCATATCTTATATTATATGCTTAGTAAGTACACAACAATACATTTCACTGCAACACTTGTGATCAAATACTCAACGTTTTAAGTGCATAATATTTATTGTTTTTGCATTTTTCACATTTTTGGCTTTAAAGAGGACTTAATATTTTGGATAAGAAGAGCATATTTGAGATCGATCTGTATTGGCTGTCTTATTGTTTTATTTTTTTTTATATTCTTATAGGTACATAGAAAATTGAATGAAATCAAACAATTAAAATAAAGAAAATATTTAAAGAAAAATAGGCATATAGCGTGTTAACAATAACGACTGGAGAGCTGTCAACACATCCGTTGCATAAAGAAATTCACGAATAGTATACGAGGCATCGTGCGCTGCAGTTGTTGTACCTATGGGTGAAATAATATAAGCGTTAAAATATATTTTGTTGAGTTGTTTTTTATTTTAGACCTGTGGAAGGGGGAGGGCTAAAAAATCAAAAAAAATTCATCGATCACTGCATAAACTATATTAATAAACAGGCCGCATTCCTCGCTGCTCAAAGATGAACCTACACGCACCCTAAAAGTTATGAACGACCTTGAAATAGGTGCAGTGAAATATGCGTTTAATACCGAGACACAAGTAAAACACGTGTTTGACAACAGCTGCTACCTAAGTCGTCAAGTCACGCGGTCTGCTGTGAGTCGTTCAATATTATGATCAACTACCGTCTCCACGATGATGATTTTGGATCGCGAGTTAAAATTTCAGAGTAAATATCGAATTTTTATAAATTCTAAGCTCACGAATCGGAGTGCAATAAAATATTTTGGGACTTTGAGGGAAGAAATGTGTCGTCCTGCAAAATACGTGTAGACACAATAGTTTAGGTATGTACCTACATAATATTATTATATATTATCGAAACTTACTTTTTAACGTTTTTAAAAAAAAATCCCTCACGTCGAACGCGGCTACTTATTATCAGTAATAATATATTAGTAATTAGTATTATTGTTTTATTATTATTATCATTACTATTGTATATTTCCGCATT